GTGGCTTTTGATTGGGCCAATTACTTAAGCCTGGGGCCGGAAATTTTACGTCCCTTACCATTTTGTGATGCCTGCGGCAACCACATGTGATGACCCCGGGCTGGACTCCGCTTCGTCCATGGTGAAAGCCGATCTGGCAATCCACAGCACTAAGTTGATGTATTTCCTCAGCGACCAGCACGGATCAGCTCCAGGCATGACGAAGCGGATATCGTCTTCTTTTGGAAGACCAAACAAAGTAGTTTCGCTTTCACAACGAAACACACAGCGTCTTCACGACATGTCGGCGGCAACAACAATACTACAGCGAGAATAAAAGTTACGCCTTCTTTCTTTGCATGAACATTTGTGCGGTGTTATGCAAATCTTCCCACATAGTGAGGTAGACATGAGGGGCCGTGTTAGAACGAGCCGTTTTAGGTAGGCGTGGCTGACTCTTAACTTTTATAAAGAATATCTCTTTGGATTTGAGACTTTAGTCTTTGCAACTTTACAGATCTTCTTTAAGCACCAAGAGCTTGTAACACTCCAAAGAGAAAGGAAAAATTGAAATCGCATCATATGACCCCCTTTAAGTTTCATGTGTGTTACAAATGATGGTGTTTAGTGTTTGTGTGAATGACACTGAGCACCTTCTATACATGTTATTATTTAAAAGCTGCTTGTGATGGGCTTTGGTTCATCATGTGACTTTCTCATCACCGTCTGTATTTGGTGGTTATCAGTGTATTACAAAGTACAAAACAGATTTCAGTACTTCAGTAGGTTGGTATATTAACATTATTTCAGTTAATGAAATTACGGTATTTAACTGTAAATTTAAGTTAAAACCTTAAAACCTAAAATGTTGCTACCGGATATTTTACAGTAAAATTCCGGCAACCACAGCTGCCGGTTTTTTACTGTACATTTTTGATTCAGTTTTGATTCAACTGTCCCTTCAGGAGGGTGGCTGAGCTGGTCCACTGTTCAAAGTTAACCAGCTTCCCACAATCATAGCAAAGGTCGTCTACCAGCCTTTATGCAGCTTATTCAGCCTGATTGATGCTCATTGCTCACAGTATGTCGTGAAGCTCCTCGTTTAGAGAGCTGTCTTCTGCTCAGCTAGCCAGGATTCCTCTCACCACTTTAATCAACCTCCCAATCATCTGAGCTCAGACACAAACACACTCACGCTGCTCATTCATCCTCCTCTTCTTTATCCCAGCATGATTGTTGTTTTATGCCTCATTAAGCTATGATTCCAATATCAGTCCGTTTGTGTTCACAGTGTCATTAATTTGATCAGGTTAAATGAAAGGCTTGCTCTTTTGTGATTAACACATTTAAATGGCTAGTTCAGACTGTAAATTATAATTGGATGAGCGGCGTTTGAAGCTATATACACACTGTCATTCAAAAGTTTAAGAAACAGTGTACTTTTTTGTTTTTATTTGATAAAAAATACAGGAAAAAAATGTAATATTGTGAAATATTGCAATTTATTTATGTGATGCAAAGCTGAAATTTCATTTAAAATAGAAATTTTGTAACAATATACACATAAAAGAACTTCTGGTAACACTTTATTTAAAAGTGTCCTTGTAACACATTACATGTACTTACAATTATAATAACTATTAATGATGCATAATTACATGCAAGTAACCCTAAGACAAACCCTAATCCTAACCCTAACCATACAGTAAGTACATGTAGTTAATTAATATTACTCAGTACTTAAATGTATAATTAGTGTACTTTTTTGTTTTTATTTGATAAAAAATACAGGAAAAAAATTTAATATTGTGAAATATTGCAATGTATTTATGTGATGCAAAGCTGAAATTTCATTTAAAATAGAAATTTTGTAACAATATACACATAAAAGAACTTCTGGTAACACTTTATTTAAAAGTGTCCTTGTAACACATTACATGTACTTACAATTATAATAACTATTAATGATGCATAATTACATGCAAGTAACCCTAAGACAAACCCTAATCCTAACCCTAACCATACAGTAAGTACATGTAGTTAATTAATATTACTCAGTACTTAAATGTATAATTACACTGTAACAAGGACACCTTACAAAAAGTGTAACCATACTTATTTCCTTTTTTTTTAAAGAAATTAATATTTTTAATGTTTAATTGATTATTGATTATAATGTTTAATTGATTAATGTTTGGTGATAGTAAAGTCGTTTACTGTTAGAAAATATTTATATTTTAAATAAATGCTGTTCTTTTTAACTTTTTTGTTGATCAAAGAGTCCTGCGTATCACAGATAAATATTAAGCACTGCAACTGTTTCAAACATTGATAATAAATCAGCATTTTAGAATGATTTCTGAAGGATCGTGTGACACTGAAGACTGGAGGAATGATCATGCTGAAAATTCAGCTTTGATCGCAGGAATACATTTAATTTTAAAGTATATTCAAATAGAAAACCGTTATTTTAAATTGCAATAATATGTCACAATATTATTTTACTGACATGCACACTATAACACACAACCAACCTCCAGTGATTTATTGCTTTATTTAAATACTCTAAAGTTGGATTCTCACTAGTTTATATGACTTGCTCTTCTGCAATGTTTGTTTATGTTACGATGCTGTCTGATCTCTTGTTTCCCAGAATGCATATGTGAACATAAACCGCATCATGTCGGTGGCGTCGCGGCTGTCGGAGGCGGGTCACTACGCATCTCAGCAGATCAAACAGATCGGCACGCAGCTCGATCAGGAGTGGAAGAGCTTCGCCGCTGCTCTCGATGAACGCAGCACCATCCTCGCCATGTCTGCCGTCTTCCATCAGAAATCCGAGCAGGTGCCTGATTTCTTATTTATCATCTGTAGCTCTCAGAACATGCAAATGCTGTTAAAATCAATGGTGGCAGTGGTGTAGTGGTTTCTAATGGCCTGTGTCTGTGCAGTTTCTGTCTGGTGTGGAAGCGTGGTGCAAGATGTGCAGTGAGGGCGGGCTGCCTTCAGAGATGCAGGATCTGGAATTGGCCATTCATCACCATCAGACGCTTTATGAACAGGTCACTCAAGCTTATACAGAGGTGAGAACATTATTGTTTCTCCTCTATGCTCCGCCTTTCTGAAACGAGTCGATTTTTACAAAGCTCATCGTTCTGAAAAGCGAGGTGTGTTCTGATTGGTCAGCTATCCAGTGCGTTGTGATTGGCCGAATACCTCAAGCGTGTGACGGAAATGTTACGCCCCTCACCATATTGTGATGATGCCCTGTCAGGCCGGACCGATGATTCAAAAACATGAAAACCCATTATAAATGAGGCATTCGTTGCATCCAGTGGAGACATAATTATGGATTATAATGACTTGCGTTGCATCGCGCCGCGTAAACATAAAACCATGTCTGCATTTGTGATCAGAGAAATGACAAACAACAAGCCCTACTCTACACTGCCCAAAAAAATCGCTTTAAATATATAAAAACTCTTTAAATATAAAAAACGTATTTACAGTCTTTCAGTCAGAACAGCCGGCATTGTAGTGTACTCTCCCAGGATCAGGAAACAGTCCTCCATTAAATGTGCTGCACACATCTGAATATTTGGGTTGAAGTGTTCTGGAACAGTGTTGTAAATACAACTTAACCACTGATTTCTAGTCGTGTCCATTTTTGGAAGACCAAACAAAGTAGTTTCGCTTTCACAACAAATCACAGCGTCACACACGGCGGCCTAGAGTGAGCAGAGGCCAGGGGCTAGAGTGAGGAACGGCCGGAGGGCTGAGTGAGCAGAGGTGGTGGGCTTGAGAACGGCACGGCCTGCGATTTCGACGAAGGAGCGTCTGCAAGGACATGTGATGACCCCGGGCTGGACTCCGCTTCGTCCATGGTGAAAGCCGATCCGGCGATCCACAGCGCAAAGTTGTAGTATTTCCTCAGCGACCAGCACAGATCAGCTCCAGGCATGACGAAGCAGATATCATCCTCTTTTGGAAGACCAAACAAAGTAGTTTCGCTTTCACAACGAAACACACAGCATCTTCACGATATGGCGGCGGCAGCAACAATACTACAGCGAGAATAAAAGTTACGCCTTCTTTCTTTGCGTGAACATTTGGGCAGCGTTATGCAAATCTTCCCACATCGTGACGTAGATATGTGGGGGCGTGTTAGAACGAGCCGTTTTAGGTAGGCGTGGCTGACTCTTAACTTTTATAAAGAATATCTCTTTGGATTTGAGACTTTAGTCTTTGCAACTTTACAGATCTTCTTTATGCACCAAGAGCTTGTAACACTTCAAAGAGAAAGGAAAAATTTAAATCGCATCATATGACCCCTTTAAAACAGCACCAATTTGAAAGGACAGTAAAAGTGGATAGTTCACTCAAAAATGAAAATCACTCACCCTCGTGTCGTTTCAAACCTGTAAGACCTCTGTTCATCTTCGGGGCACAATATCTTTTTGATGCATCCCGTTAGCTCTCTGACTCTCCCATAGACAGCAAGCATACTATCACAATCAAGGTCCAGAAACATAGCAAGGACATCAGTAAAATAATCCATGTGACATTAATGGTTCAACCGTAATTTTACGAAGTATTTACGAGAATGCTTTTTTTGTACAAAAAAACAAAAACAAAAAACGACTTTATTCAACAATTTGTCTCCTCTGCTTCACCCTGTAGCGCCATTTTGGAGAGTATGTACGTGGATGCATTGTTTTCGTTCAGATCAAAAGCGTAAACAACGTAGACAACGTATCTGCGTGGCGCAACTGACACAGAACAGCATACACAGTTTACGTTCAGTGGATAATCTCCAAAATGGCGCCAGGGAGGAGAAGAATTGCTGAATAAATTATGTTATTTTTGTTTTCTTTGCACACAAAAGCTATTCTTGTAGCTTCGTACAAATTACGGTTGAACTCCTGATGTCACATGGATTATCTTACTGATGTCCTTGCTATGTTTCTGGACCTTGTTTGTGGTAGTATGCTTGCTGTCTATGGGAGGGTCAGAGAGCTCTCGGAGTTCATCAGAAATATTGTGTTCCGAAGATGAACGAAGGTCTTACAGGTTTAAAAAGACACAAGGGTGAGTAATTAATGACAGAATATTCATTTTTGGGTGAACTAACCCTTTAACTGTCCTTTCAAATTGGTGTGTCATATCATTGATATAATATAATTTTTGTTAATATATATATATATATATATATATATATATATATATATATATTAGGGAAGGTAAGATTCAAATATTTGCGTTGGT